TCATGGACCAGTAAAAATTTTTCAAAATTTTTATTATATGTGTATTGCCAAGAAAAATGATAACTTTAAACTTTATTTAACATTTGGTTAAAGGTATCTTAACAACTTTTTTTTATTTGTTAAGAAATCTCAATCAAAATTTTTAATCATATTTAAAGTTATTCTTTTTTCTTGACGATACTCAAATTTTTTATTTATTTATTATATTTAGAACTATTTAAAATATTGTGAAATTATTTGAAATATTTTAAATTATTTCGAATAATTTTGAATATTTTCATTAATACTTTGAATTGTTTCAAATATATTTAAATTTAAATTCTTACTAAATTTTTATAGCTTTTGGAGAAATTTAAATTATTGAAGAGTACCTTAACTACCAAGATTAAAAATGCTTTGTTTGCTGTATTTGGGAATCTCTTAACCCCTATTAATAATAAAACAAAACCTGAGATTATTCTTGAATAGAAATGATCTGAAGAAACCAAAACTTGTTATAAGCAACTCTTTAAGAATACTTTTGAAGACTTAGAAGATACTTATATGTCACTTATATTAAATAAGATTTGGCCCTCTGGTGATGCTACTCTAGAAAAAGTTGCATATGCTATAGCAGTTTGTTAAACTATACTTAATCCTATGCAAGATAGTTTGATAATTTCTAAAAGCATTATAAAACACAAACTTTCAAGAAATTTGATATGTATTTATTATATTATTATAAAATTTTTACTTATATAGTTCGGAACATCTATACTCGACAATCATGTGACCACAATAACAAGCATTTTCAAAATTCTAAAATTTTTTATACAAGCATTATTTTCAAAATCCAATCAGTAACTTTGTTCTTTATAATAAGCTTTACAAAGTTACCAGTCAAATTTTAAAAATAATGTCTATATAAAAAGTTTTAGAGTTTTAAAGTTTATAAGTTTAAATGAAATTAAAACAATCATATGATCACATGCAATGCATATTATTAGATAAAAGCAGTAGATTACAAAATACGAATTACCAGAACATTTGATTTGCTAAGTTGAGCCAAATATTTCTAGCTTCCCAATCTTTGGCTAATTAACTTCGAATTATTAGAAATAATAGTACATAATATATATGTATAGTTATACAATTAAATATAATTAGCAAATAATTAATCAATAATTTTATAACAATCCAAAATAAAATTTTATACTCTTAAGTACTAATTTGAAATTTTACATTATTCTAGATGTGACTTTATTTCTTAAACTATTTTGTAGACAAAATTTGTCTGCAAATTTTTGATCAATATTGTTTTTACTAGTACAGCCTATATAAATCATTATGTCAACGTCAGTAATATTAATATTGGGCATACTACTTGCATAAAACTATTAGTTAATACTACTTTTAAGTAATTTTTAATAGTGTCTCGCCTTTATTTTCTTTTCAGGTTGGTGAAATAACTCCTGTAAAAGTCATGTATATATAAATTACATGCTGTTATCAAGTGTGTTATTTATACTTGTTAGATGAAATTAAAAAAAATTTCTAGAAGGCACATATATGATCTAATTAGATCATTTAAACACATGACTTTAGCATGATAAATATGTGCGATTATTAGATAAATTTTTGCAGGCAAATTTGCTTGCATCAACTTATGGTTTAAGAGATAATTAATTATAAGCTTGAATAGTATATATTTTGATAATAAAATAATGCTAAATTCTAATAAACTATATACATAGAAAAGAATACATTAAAGCATTATAGTTTCATGAATTGATTATTAATTAATAAAAAATTAAACATCAAATAATGAATACAAGGTTTTAGTGTGCTATTAAATATCTCATATATAATAAATATATAAATTAGTATGATTATTCGACAAGACAAAAACAAATTAATACAGAGATAAGAGAATACTTAGCCTTAATAAAAGTTCTATTAGCCTCATAAAATTAATAGTTTCTCATAAAATTTAAAATAACTAATTAACTTCATATAGCTTTATGTTACACATATGAGAATATTGCATGAGAATATTATGCGAAAATATTATACAAGTAATGTTTTGAGTAAACAGCAAAGTCATGTCTAAAACATATATATATAAACATGTGTTGCATTTGTCTTAAATGCTAGTTTACAATGCCACAATTAATAAAAAGACAAAAACAAATAAATAGTCTGCCAAGAAAGCAAGGTTGCTTTAAGACTCAAAATAAAATACGAGAAGTTACTGAATCTCAGAAGGAATCTGCATTGATGATGCATAAAGTAGATGAAATAGATAAAGTTGTAAGTATAAAAAAATAAACGTACATCAAGAATTCACGAACAACAGTCTGGAGACAAACCAAAAAAAAGAAGGATCAGGAAGAAAATGCTAAGAATAAAAATATTAACATATTATTTAATATTGAAGCATCAAATAATATGCAATTATTGTTTGACATTAAGGCTTCAAGTAATGTACTATTACTTAATATCGAATAATGTATCATTATTACTCGATGATGAAGTAGTAGCAAATGAATCACTATCACAGCAGCCCAAGCAACTATACACAATTTCTTTACACTATCTACAAATACTATGAAATTATATAAAAGATTGGAAGAAGTTAATGGTCAATGTAAATAACAAAATCCTTAAAAATGGATATACCTACCTATAACTATATATGTTTAATAAGTATTAGTAGGTTTATACAATTGTTGCTAGATAGAAAAGGTAAAATGGAGGCCAGCTTTGAGGTTGCATAATCAGTATAGAATAAGGAAGATTACATAGCAAGATGTGTCTGGAAGTAAGAGGAATATTATATAGAAACGGGTGAGCTTCTTGCATCTCAACAAGGAAAGCATATGAAAAATAAAGGTTTATACAATAAAAAGAATTCTCCAAAAGTTGCCAAGAATGGTTACAACAACAAACACCAGAGTCCTACTTCTCAGATACCTTAAAATTATACCTTGAAGGTTTATTATTTCCAAAAATGTCAGATAGTAGAAGGAGCACTATTAGCAAAAAAACATATCAAAGATACATACATTCATTAAAATATAATTATAATAAAAGAACAAAAGGAGTTTATTATGATAGTGTGTTTTTTTTTCTCTTTTATTTATTTTTTTTTTTAACTTACATTGATTTAACACAAATATGTTATTCAGACCATGAGTGGTCAGATATGGTAAAATACAGAAAAGAATGGTTAAAAAGAATGTTTGAATATAAAAAAAATATGAAGGAATTTGATAGTGATATGCTAGATATAGTGATAGAACCACAGCTCAGGCAAAGTAAAAAAGAGTATATACAAGTAATGCATGATGAAACTCATTTCTATGCAAATGATGAGTGTCAAAGAATTTGGGTTAAAGAGGATGAAAGTATTTTGCATTCAAAACATATAGAATGCTCTATTATAGTTTCTGCTTTTCTTTGCCTATATTATGGATTGCTACAACTATCTGATGAGCAATTACAAATGAATCCAGAAGCAAAACAAAAAGAGGCTTACGTTATTCATTCTGTGCAAAAAGATGGTTACTGGAAAGCAGAACATATGTTAGAACAGGTTTGTTTTTTTTTTCTTTTTTTTTCTTTTTTTTCTATCTTTTAACATATTTATTTTGTAATATAAAATAATTTATCAAAGCTTTTTCAAGTAATTATAATGTTTGAAATATTGCATTTAAGATGTATTGGTATTTTTTGTTTTGATCAATCGACAAATCACAATTCTATAGCAGAGAATGCATTGGTTGCAACAAGAATGAACCTTAGTTCTGAAAATATACAGCCAAAGATATGTAATAGTTAGTATGTTAATAAAGATGAAAATAAAAAGTCACAACTAATGGTATTTTCAAATATTTATTATAAACAAGAATTAAGAGAAGAACTGAAAAGTATAAAGCAAATACTTATAGAATATAATCTTTGGCCAACAGAAGAAATTTGTTTAAAATGCAAACAATGTTCTAAAAAAAAGAAAATGATGATAAATTAGAAAGATCAAATTGTTGTACCCAAAAAATAATAGAATCACAACCTGATTTTTGTGAGCAAAGGTCACTATTAGAAGAAGCAGTTCTCAATGCAGGACATATATTTGAATGATACCCCAAATATTATTGTGAATGTAACTTTATAGAGAGGTATTGGAGTTTCATAAAACAGGAAACCAGAAAGTTCTGCACTTATAATTATAAAGACTTATTAAAAAAAATTTCTGAGATTCTTCCAAGTGTTCTTCTAGCAATTATTTACAAATTTGGTTGCAAATTATGGTGATATATGGATGCTTACAATAAGGGATTGGAAGGCAAAGTAGCAGAATGGGCAGTTAAAAAGTACAAATCACATCACCATCTTCCTGAAAATATTGAAATGCTAATGGAACATGAAAAAAAGAATAATTAATAAAATATTTTTTATAAATTAATTGTTTTTTAATATTTTATAATAAATATTGCAGATAATAATAAAATTAGATTAAAATAAAATTGGAGGTTTTCATTTAACTCTATAAAATCTATTTATACTTGTTTATTACAAATTCTATCTCTAAAGCTGATCCTAGTCTTAAAAAAAAAGAACCCAAAAAGTTGTATTTTTTCGTAGCTTGTCTATTTTATACTATACAAAATTTCATTTTGATCTGTCACAATAAATATTACTTTTAGCCTTTTATAAGAATTTAAAACATGAAATAAAGTTATTATTATATTTATCCAATAAGAATAGATCTATCAGGGCTTTTATCAGTGCTATTTAATATATTCTATAATAGTAAGTAATCAAAATTCTTGTATATAATTAACTTTTTCTATTCTGAATAATCATGTTTTGCTAATGCTAAAATGGTTCTTTATCTGTTATATAATAGTATTAACATTAACTATCAAGTTTGGATAGTAACAAAGATTAGTGTTTTCTTAGTTAACTTATTTTACCTTCGATTTATAAGAATCATGATAGAATAAAATTTGAGAAAAAAAAATTTTTAAAGTGTTGAATGTGAATGATTAGTACTGTAGTAGATTCGATTATCATATTACAAAATTATTAGTTAATTTTGAACCCATGTAATAAAATAATCATTAGCAAAAATTAAAACATGTCACATGATTGTTGAGTATAGATGTCCTGAAGCATATAATCAAAATTTTTTTATTATTAGAAAAAGTTAGAAAGTAATAAAAAAATTTCAATATCAGACACTGAGAATAGTATATCAAGTTCTAAAGAAAGTGAAACTTCAAAAGACTTCAAAAAAGTATAATTTTTTGTAATATATTTTAAATTAATTTAAATTATTTTAAATATTTACACATATTTGCATATTATTTTAAATATTTTAATAATTTGTGACTTTTTTATAATTTTTGAAATATATTAATTTTATAACTAAATATTTAATACTTGATGTATTTATATTGATTTTTTAAATATTTTAAAAAATATTTTTTAACAATTATTAATTTATTAAATATTTTTCTATTTATTTTTTTAAATATTACTAAAATATCCTATTGAGTTGTAGTAAATGAAAAAATATTTTACAAGAATCTGAAATGGTTTGTAATTTTTTTTTTCTTTATTTGAGCAGTCTTGCTGGTCACCTTTATTATGTATTTTTGTATTATATATATACAAATTAGTTTATAAATTCTGGCCCAACATCCTGCAAGTGCTTCTATAAGTTCCTATAAGTGATCTGTTTGCACTGACTGTCTAACTTCAAAAGAAATTAGAGTACATCAGGAGCCACATCCAACTATCACTCTACAATAGGATATTGCCAATTTGATAACATTTTTTTATAAAGAAGTAAACAAAAATAAAAAAAAACTTATATAAAAAAAAACACAGAGGTATAGGAATAGACAATAAAAGATACAAATGCAAGAAATAAAAGAGAGAAAGAGAAGAAATAAGAAACAAAAAAAAAGATATATGTGACTCTTGTCACATAACTATTGGATGGTTACAATTATAAGTCTGTGTTGGTCTTTTAAAAAATTATAAACTATACTAAATAGAAATAACTTTACTATTTTTTTATCTACTAGAATATTTAACAAAAACTATGTAGAATAAAACTTCGACTTGAATATAAAGAGTGGCATGAATACTGGTTAGTCCAGAAACAGTATTTCATAGGATTTCAGCAGTTCAAGACACATATATGAGTTATGTTTATATTGCTATATTGTTTACACAATCCTAATTAGAAAGTAAATACTGCTGACTGTTTTGGTGTTTTATATGTTGATCTTTTAAAGAAGTAAACTAAATCATCTACTTTTTATAAAAAATTTTTCAAAAAAAAAAAAGATGTGAGGTGAACCAAACTATAGCTTTTGTAAGTGCTTAACCTTTCTGTAAGTTTTTTGTAAGTTTTATAGTTGTATAGAAATAATATATCTAATACTGTTATTTACTTTATAAGAGACTTTTGGCTTTTACTAACTACTTTTTTTATAGTTCCAAAGCTTCTTTAAACTGTTATTACAAAGTGATAGCTTCTTTTTTAACTTTATTTCAATGCCCACTATGCATGCTTAGTACTTCTGAGAAGTTTTCATAAAGTTTAATATATTAACTATATCATTTTTTTGTAGTTCAGCATTTTAGAAAGTTTAGTCCAGATGATTATTGGAAAAAGTTCTAAAATGGTTTGTATTATTTTAAATTATATTTTTAATTATTAATATTAATTACAATTAACAAAATTTATTAGACAAGTAAAAGGCTAAGAAAAGGTATAATCGATAAATTTCAACTAATTTATCATTATAATTTGCAGTATTTTAAGAATATTTCTATAATTCTTAAAATTTTTAATTATTTTTATATTTATTTAATAATTTTTAAATAACTTTACATTATTTTGTTTTATTTTAAAATTATTTACTAATATTATTATATTTAATTTAGATTTATCTGATGAAAATTAAGAAATTGAAAAAGAATTGTAAAACTTTTTTATTTTGTTTTTTTTTATTTTCAAATAATCTTTCTTTTTTTTAGCTAAATTTGAGTAAATCATATACAGGAATTTAATTTTTAAATAAAACTTTTTTGTTTTTTTTTTATTTACTAATACATCTTTAGTTATTTACAGATTTTTAAAACTTTTTGAATTACTTCAAAATTTTTTACGAATTTTAAATTTTTATATAGATATTTTTTTTTTATCTTTTTTTATTTTTTATTTGTATTTGATATTTAATCAATTAAATAAAGTTGATATGTATTAAAAATAATTAAATTTGCTTAGTTATTAATTAAATAAAAAAATTAATTAAATATATTAAAATATATAAATAGCAAAATTTTAAATAAAATAAAATAAATTTATTAATAAAAATTATTTTGTAATTTTTAAAATATTTTAAAAATTTTTCAAATTTTTTAATTATTTCAAAAAGCTTTCAAATATTTTAAAATATTTCAAAATTATTTTAAATATTTCAAAACATTTTGAATTTTTCTAAATATTTCTAATTATTTTTGAATTATCTTTTTATTTTTTTAGTTTTGTTATTTTTTAAAATTTTGTAAAATAGCTAAAAAAATTTTAAAATTATTTGTAATATTATAAAATTATTTTATTTTAAAATAATTTTGTATCAATCACAGTTATTTCAAAAGATTTTTAGTATACAAAATCTTTTACAATATTTTATATATTTATTTTGCTAATGTATTAGCATGATTGCTTAAGTTAAAAAAAATTAAGGTTTAGATAAATTTTATAATAATATAACTCTATTAATATTTTATAAAGTAAATAGATAAATTAACAAAAAGATATTTTGAACTTTATTAATAAGTTGTTTTTTAATAAAAAGCTTTTAAATATTAATATAAACAGAAAATAAAAAATATAATCACATATAATACTTTTTTTACTGATCACTAAAACACAAAACTTGCAAAAATAAAAATCAAGACTAACAGAAAAATCATTGTCAAAACTGTGCTCAAAGATTTAACAAAAAAAAAAGAGCTTTAGAAATAAACCTAACAAGTAAAGCAGTAAAAGAAAACAAGCTAAAAAGCAAGTAAAAAAAAAACAAACTTGCCAAGTGAGCCTTAAAAAGCAAAAATTTTAAAGAAATAACTTAGACTTGGAACTGCAGATCTGTTTGGAACACATGAACATGTGAAAAGACAAACAAACAGGTATGTATAAATATAAACAGAATAAACATATAGGTATTACAAAGTGCATGTAATTGTAAATAAAGAAGCACAAAACATAGCCACAAATAATATAAACAAAGGCAGAAGAGTCAATGATGCTAAAATTGATAAGTGAAAAAGCAAAAGCAGAAATAAACCTCATAGACAGCAAAGAATTAGAGCAAGAACTAGCAAATAGAGACAACTATTTTAATATAAAAGATATAATAGCAGCAGCACTATATAAAACAGATTTAATGAAAACAGTAATGCTAAGAAAAATATATGAAGCAATAATTAAAATAGACATGAGAGACCCAACAAGCATAGAAAAATAGGCAAAAGAAATAAATCATACAAGCCAACATTCACTAGCAGTGCAAAGTATAAGAAGCAAAAAAGTCCAAATGGTATCAAAAAAAAAAATCAATATACCAGAATTGTATATAGAGAAAATAAGACAAAAGACAAAAGCAGTAAACATAATAATGAATGAAAAAGAGCTATGACAAAATACAAGTTTAGAAGAGAAAGAGAGAAAAAAAAAAAGAAAAAGCAAAGAAGCTACAAATACAGAATCAACAAGTATGATGATTGAAGAGGCAAAAACAGACAACTATATAGAAGAAGAAATAAGAATATTAAAAACAAATATAATACAAGAAGACTATAAAGACATCATTATGACAATTAGAAACTAAGAAAAAACTGAGAGAAATGAAAAAGATGGAATCCATAAAACTGAATAATAGAAAAACAGAGATAATATCATAGAAGAACTATTAGAATGCAGCATCTGGTTACTCACAAACAGAGAATGCAGTAATAAAAGAATGTATACAATAAAAATACCAGTATACAATGTATCAGATAGTTTACAAGAAGAAAGAACAAAATTTATTAAAAGATTGCTAGTATTTAATAAA